TTCATCCACTTGTAAACCTCTATCATGTCACCCCTAACTCTTCGCCTTTCCAGTGAATGCAACTTAAGCTTTGTTAATCTTTCTTCATATGAAAGATTTCTAATTTGGGGAATTAACTTAGTCATCCTACGCTGGACACGTTCAAGTGAATTTATATCCATTCTATAATATGGCGACCAAAACTGAACTGCATAATCTAAATGGGGCCTAACTAGAGCAAGATATAGCTTGAGAACCACACCAGGTGTCTTGTTACTAACGCTGCGATTAATAAATCCAAGTGTCCGATTTGCCTTATTACGAACATTTATGCATTGATCCTTTTGTTTTAAATTCTTACTAATCATAACTCCCAGATCCCTTTCGCAATCCGACTTCGCAATCACAACACCATCTAGCTCGTATCTTGTAACTCTATCATCATTACCTAACCTCAGAACTTTACATTTATCAGCATTAAACTGCATCTGCCAATCCTTTGACCATTTCAAAACCCTATCTAGATCAACTTGAAGTGATAGTGAGTCCTCCTCCGAATTAATTTCCCTACCGATTTTCGTATCATCGGCAAATTTGCAAATGTTGCTACTCAAACCTGAATCTAAATCATTTATATATATTATAAACAACAGAGGTCCCAGGACAGAGCCTTGAGGCACTCCACTTACAACATTTTCCCACTCTGACTTGATTCCATTTATACTAACTCTCTGTTTCCTTTGGTATAGCCATGCCCTAATCCAGCTTAATATAGCACCCCCAATACCATGAGACTCTATTTTTTTAATCAGTCTTTCATGTGGCACTGTATCAAAAGCTTTGCTAAAGTCAAGGTATACAACATCGCAATCCTTACCACTATCAACTGCCTCAACAATGCTAGAATAAAAAGATAACAAATTTGTTAAACATGAACGGCCATTTATAAAACCATGTTGCGACTCAATTATTAATTTATGTTTTTCAAGATGAAGACGAATTTTATTTGCTATTATAGATTCGAGTAACTTTCCCACAATAGACGTTAGGCTAATTGGTCGATAGTTAGACGCAAGTGATCTATCTCCTTTCTTAAAAACTGGTATCACATTAGCAACTTTCCAAAACTCTGGCACTCTGCCTGACTCTATTGATTTATTAAATATGGTTGACAGTGGGTCACAAAGCTCCTCTTTGCATTCTTTAAGCACCCTAGCAAACACTTCATCCGGCCCTGGGGATTTGTTTGGTTTGAGTTTTACTATTTGTTTAAGAACATCCTCCCTGGTAACTGCTAAACTCGTCAACCTGTCCTCGTCCCCACCCACATAGACTTGTTCGGCTGAAGGCATATTGTTAAGTTCCTCTTTAGTAAATACAGATACAAAATATTTATTAAAAATACTACTCATCTCTTCATCACTATCTGTTATTTGACCTGTCTCAGTTTTTAATGGACCTATCCTTTCCCTAGTCTTAGTACGATATAACTGAAAAAACCCTTTAGGATTTGTCTTTGCTTGCCCTGCTATGCGAACTTCATAGTTTCTTTTTGCTTTCCTTATCTCTTTTTTAACATTTCTAACCAGTTGTACGAATTCCTGTTCTAAAGTGACCTCCCCATTTTTAATCCTTTTGTACCAAGCTCTCTTTTTACCTATAAGGTTCTTCAAATTCTTTGTTATCCACTTTGGGTCATTAGTATACGATCTATTCAATTTGTATGGTATACTACGTTCCTGTGCTTTGTTTAGAATATTCTTAAATAAGTTATATATTGAATCCACATCGAAATCCCCATTTAAGTCACCTATCGCTGGGTTCATGTCTCGCTCCAAGACCGGCCCACACCCCATACCCAAGCCTTTCCAATCAATTTGACCCAAAAAATTTCTTAGGCTATTAAAATCAGCTTTTCGAAAATCTGGCACTTTAACAGAATTTTCTCCTACTGGTCTATTCCATTCTATGCTAAATCTGATTTCTTTGTGATCACTGCTCCCTAGCTCACTCCCTATTTCGATGTCATTAATTTGCGTTTCCCTGTTAGTTAACACTAAATCTAAAATATTATTTTCCCGTGTTGGTTCCTTAATGTGTTGCGTAAGAAAGCAATCGTCAATTAATTCTAGAAAATCTTCTGCTTCACTATTCCCTGTTTTGTTCAACCAGTTTATTCCGCTAAAATTAAAGTCACCCATGACATAAATACTGTTAGATCTAGATGCTCTAGATATTTCATCCCATAGATGCTTTGCTTCCATTCTGTCTAAATTTGGTGGCCTATATATTACTCCTATTATAATATTATTAGCTTTTTCGTTTAATTCAATCCAAATAGTTTCTGTGTGTGGCTCTGTTTTGATTCCCTCTTTGAGACTACATTTCAAATTGTCCCTAACATATATGGCTACTCCACCTCCTCGTCTAATATATCTATCTGTGTGAAATAGTTTAAATCCATATATTTGATATTCAGCTAATAGTTCTCTATTTTCTACATTCATCCACGTTTCGGTAAGTGCAATAATATCTATTTTTTCTGTGCAGACAAGAGCATTTAATTCGTTAATTTTATTTCTTAGACTTCTTGATCTGATTCATGCATTGATCCTTTTGTTTTAAATTCTTACTAATACATAACTCCGAGATCCCTTTCGCAATCCGACTTCGCAATCTCAACACCATCTAGCTCGTATCTTGTAACCCTATCATCATTACCTAGCCTCAGAACTTTACATTTATCAGCATTAAACTGCATCTGCCAATCCTTTGACCATTTCAAAACCCTATCTAGATCAACTTGAAGTGATAGTGAGTCCTCCTCCGAATTAATTTCCCTACCGATTTTCGTATCATCGGCAAATTTGCAAATGTTGCCATAAATATATAAATGATTTTGATTCAGGTTTGAGTAGCAACATTTGCAAATTTGCCGATGATACAAAAATCGGCAGGGAAATTAACACGGAAGAAGACTCACTATCACTTCAAGTTGATCTAAATAGGGTTTTGAAATGGTCAAAAGTTTGGTAGATACAGTTTAATGCTATAATTTCCCAAATTAGAAGCTATAATTCCCCAAATTAGAAATCTTTCATATGAAGAAAGATTAACAAAGCTTAAATTTCATTCACTGGAAAGGCGAAGAGTTAGGGGTGACATGATAGAGGTTTACAAGTGGATGAATGGACATAACAAAGGAGATATTTATAGGGTATTAAAAGTTTCAACACAAGACAGAACACGAAACAATGGGTATAAATTGGATAAGTTTAGATTTAGGAAAAACTTGGGTAAATACTGGTTCGGTAACAGGGTTGTTGATTTGTGGAACCAATTACTGCGTAAAGTGATGGAGGTGGGGTCCCTCGATTGTTTCAAGCGCGGGTTGGACAAGTATATGAGTGGGATTGGGTAGTTATAGATAGGAGCTGCCTTGTATGGGCCAATAGGCCTTCTGCAGTTACCTTTGTTCTTATGTTCACAATCATAAACCATTCACACTGCTCCCTGTAAGCGCATTTTGATATGCTTCTGTCACACTCATTATTGCTAGCGAGTGAATGGTTTGGGAGACGCTCGGTGGCTTAATGTATTGTTATTATAATGTTAACTTTATACATAAAATATACATAAGAACCTGTTACAGTTATAATGAACTTGTATCTGACCTGATGGTAAGGGGGGAAGGGACAGGAAAGTTGTAAAAGGGATTTGCGCCTCACCAATCGCACGAGAGGTGCAAACCTTTATAAGCAATGGATACGGCACATTTCCACTGTGCAACGATACGCTCCAATACAGCCTTCTACACACGGATTTTCTTCAGTGATTTTTCAAGCGATTTTTCAGTGATTTTTTTCGGATTTTTCTTCTTCTACAGCACTGGGCCATTACCATCTCCAGTGCTATGAGATCCGACACTCCCCAAGTTGAGTGCGAGGTGGGTTGAGGTCAAGTAAGTTTACTGAGATAATAACACAACCCATGAGATAGAATACGTTCATCAGACCACTTTCCCTATCAATTTCCTGTAGTTTCCTAACATTCCTTAGTTACGTCCATCAGATAAACTTAGCTTCCGTTAAGAGTGACCCTCAAGGGACGATCTTTCACTCTTTTTCAATTCTCCTGTAGTCGCAGGCATTCTCATTGGTTGTAAGACCTTCCACTAGTCTTACAACCATTTTGTCTACTACTTTTGCTTCTTCAGCTTTTTCTGTCCTAGATGTTATCTTTTTTTTCGTTTTGTTTTTGCAACCACAAATTAATATGGACTTACTTTGGTCGACTGTGTTTTGACAGTTCCTACTGGCAAACTTCCAAACTTTGAAATAAAATCAATCTATTTTGTTTACTTCCCCCCTTGCACTTTTTGTTTTGTTTTATTATTTTTCGAAAACTCTCAACCTAAACTCTATTTATTGGGACATCACTCATCCTCTTGTACGGTATCATCCTCGCGGCCCTATGTGCTCACGGTCCCGGAGCTTTTCTGATGCAGATATCGACTACTGTACCTCCTGTACTTACCTAAGTTGTGCTAATATTCACAACACAACTTACGTTGTCAAGTAAGAAAACTCAAGGATTAATTTTCCATATTTCAGTTATAACAATTTCTGGAATTCCATAATTAGGCATTTATAATATTTTGTTCAAAACATTGTGGAATCCTCATGTCGTTTTCCCCCTTTGGTTAACATTGTATGTCAATGTGGCCGTCATGCTTATATGTATCCTGTGTCCAGTGCCTCTTCTTAGCATCTCTTAAAACTTATTGCAAATGCTAACCATAATTTGCTTGTCAGTTGCTGCAAAATTAAGAAGCCAACAAGTTTGATAACGTGTGATAACGTATACAACGAATATTCATGCAACCTTTCTTTTCCTTTCACAGTAGCTGTCAACAATGTCGCCTGATACCTGTGCTTCCTAGACCCAAGTTCTGCGATCTTCCTTCTAGCGTCATCCTTACCTCTGTTCTCATTGGCTGAATGATCACGACATCACTGATGATGGCAGAAAAGTTAATAATGTTTCTGGTAACGGTGACTTGCCTGACCGGACTGTCGGCAAGCTTTCAGTATTCAGATCTGGTGGATATTAACGTGGCCTGCCCGCCCAAAGACACGTGCATTGTTCAAAACGTCGTCGATTCAAATGACTGGGAGAAAAGGAACTGTTTTTGTGACGATCTGTGTGGTGAATATGGCGACTGTTGCCTCGACGCCCACACATACAATGTCAACGAGCACCGGAGGCCAGGCCGCTACGAGTGCGTGCATCTCAGACAATTTGGCGACCTGTACATGCGAAGGACTTGCATGTCGGGCTGGGAGGACCCGGAAATTGCAATGATGTGTTTGAGTGGTACCCCACACTCCAGCTCCAGTCGCAGAGACCCCCTGGTTGACCTACCTGTGACCAGCCTAGACTCTACCATCACCTACACTAACTTCTACTGCGCCCTCTGTAACAAGGACTCCAAGTCGCTGGGGATGTGGAAGGCGCGGGTGGAGTGCCCTACTCTCTCCCGTTACCAATTCCATTTTCGGAACCTGACCATAGAATATGTCTCTTCTAATCTTTTCTTCAAAGACGAAAACTGGGGTCTCTATATTGATGACAATGGAGTTGAAGTCTTCCACACTTGCTTCATCGATCCCGTACTGCCGGAAACTGTTTCACATTTGGTGAGACCATGCAAGCAAATGACTAAGGTTTGTGAATCGGATTGGACGGATACAGATGTAGAGAATCTCTGTCATTCGTACACAGCTGTGGTATACAATTTTGAACATGCCTACAGAAACCCTCACTGTGCTCAGTGTAACTATGTACCCAAAAACTACACTTGTTTCTATAGGTCGATGACAAGATTTTTTTTCGATGACAAGTTTAATCCTAATGCATTTTCATTATTGTTTGACTTTGTCGACACAAGCGGCAGCAACATGGTGGGGTCGACATCTTCGTGCAGAGTGGGTCAAGTGTTTGACCCGTTCTTTAAGAAGTGCAGGAATGTGCTATGCAGTAAAGCTAAGCAAGAATACAGGTTCGGTCGTTGTATTGACATCGATGTCGACAGTGACCCAGCGGCTGACGACGTCTCAACAACCACTTCAAGTACCACCTCCCTGGTCACATCTTCAGAGAGCAAGCCACTGGATACTACAACAGAAGTATCGAGTGATTCCTCAAACACCAGCACCGAGAGGACCCAAACTCTGACTTGTGAGAAGTTCCTTTTGCCTGCTAGCGAATTCACGATGAGCGCCAACGGTACTGTGGTGGCTGAAGAGTACAATCGAACCTTCCAGTCTCACGAGTACGAACAGACGGAAGGTGGAGTTCTAATATGCATTATCCACACAGAAACGGACAAGTTCTCTCCCTTGATGGGCTGGGTGTCACTGGCAGGACTTGGCCTCTCTTGTGTATGCCTAATATTACACCTGACTGCTTTTTTTATCGTTCCAGATCTAAGAAACCTGTCAGGAAAGAATCTGGCTTCTCTTTGCCTAGTTCTGCTGGCCGCATATACTACTTTCATACTGAGTGTATTTGGAGAACCAGGCAAGAGCGAGTGCTTTATTTTGGCAGCTGCCCTGTACTACTTCCTCCTGTCATCCTTCTGTTGGATGAACGTGATGGCGTTCGACATCTGGAGAACGCTGAAGCTGGCAACGTCCCACCTTCGAGTGCCTGCAGGTCGGCAGTGGGGTAAATTTTTAATTTATTCCATAAACGGGTGGCTGATGCCCGCTGTCGCTCTCACCGTCGTGGTGAGCACTGACCTCCTGCGACCTGACGGCCTGCCTCCACACTACTTCCCAGCCCTCGGTGAACGCTGGTGTTGGTTTGGACAACGTAAAGCTCTTCTGGTGTTCTTTGCAGCTCCAACGGTGACAATAATGTTGATCAATTTAGTACTGTTCATCTTATCTTCACGTATAATCGCCGTAACGACGCAATCAACAACGAAAATAACCTCGTGTGCCCCACACTACAACCAGTTCAAGCTGTATTTGCGCCTGGCGCTGTTGATGGGTCTAACGTGGCTCAGCGGCGTGGTAGCCGGGTACCTGCAAGTGGAGCCCGTCTGGTACACCTTCGTCCTCCTCAATACCCTGCAAGGTGTCTTCATCTTTGTAGCCTTCACCTGTACACACAAGGTGTGGCGCGTAGTGTCACGTAAACTCATGTGTGTGATGGCCACGTAACTCAAGCACGTGACGCTCACGTAACTCAAGAATGTGACGCTCACGTAACTCAAGCATGTAACTCCCACGTCACACAAATTTAGGTTTCTTGATTGCATTTGTTCAGCTAGTGTGGTGGTGATTGACGGGTTGCGCAATGAGCGACTTGATGTATATTACTTGCACAATATTGTTACTGTTAAATAAATAATAATAAATACAATAAGTTTTATTTAGGTCAAAGTAGACATATTCCTATTGAGTTACAAGCAATATTGTATTTCTAGTTACAATTAGAACTAATATATACTATGCCTAAAGCCACTAGAATCATTTTTTCATTGTGGGAAAAAAAATGACTTACAACTAACCGAGATCAAAAGAATGAATTGAACTGAAGTAGAAGAAAGAATTACAATAATTACTTGTTGGATTAACAACAGCAATTGCAACAGAGGAGCAGAATGTAATTTTCAATAAATTCAAAGACGGATTACAATTTTCTAAGTTTATACATGACAGATATCAGCAGTTTTATAACTTAATCATTATTGGTTAGTAATTATTCACTGTAATATTTGATAATTGCAAGGATGCAAAGGATAAGATTTAGAAGGTTAAATAAAGTTTATTAGGTATTGCTTAGTTTTTTTATCTTAAACTGGTTGAGAGATATTTTTTGCACATATTTCTTCACTAAGATTATCATGTTAATCATTTATTATATAAGCGAACATGTTAAATAAAGTTTACTTGAAAGATAAAAGTGTTCATTCTCATATTATTTACTCAACATTGTTATTCATATTGTCTCGATACTGGATGCGAATAACTGTATTAATATATTCTATTTTCCTGAATATAGAAGGCTATAAATCTAATATTATTAAGCCGTCGTTCACTAGAAGGTAGGATACGCCGTTTGTAAACATGTTGTGAGTTGGCAGTTGACCTGAAAGGCTACGAGGGGTCATCCCCACAAGGAATTAAAGCTTATGTGCGGAAAACAAGGAGCGCAACATGTTCCTTGTGTCAGGAAGGTTCAGTAATTAAAGGAGAATTCAAAGTAACGGTAGTAATAATCAATCATGTTTAAGTACTTATGCTATTTTAACATGAATTTAGAGTAGAGATCCAGTCTCGTATGTTGTCAAAGAGATAGTTGAGGTCATTTAGAATAGTTCGATCTGGCTCCGCTGCCCTCTGACTCATCCTGGGTCAAGCGGTCGGGAAATAAGATTAGCTTTTTGAATTAACCCTGCTTACTCACTCTGCCAGAGGCTGGCAGAGTGATCCTAGATCAGCTTCACAACTTGGAGGTGGGACTCCTCTCCCTGGAGCCAAGGCAGAACATCGAGGCCTGGCTGTGATATTTAAGGTAAAAGTGTGCATATCTTAATACACAGTTCACCCAGTGAGCCAACTCCACGCTGTCTCCAGCATCACCTTCACTCACCAGACCACTCCACAAGTGATCATTTGAATTTCATCATGGAATTCCAATTATAATCGATCCAGCAATGCTGCTCAGTGTAGGAAAAGACCATCTATACTGGATACAAGTTCCGAAAGTGACGGCGAGTGGCATCACGTGAATAAGGCAAACAGGACAAGCCACTCCATGACGATCCATCGCCCATTAATCTCTCCAGCTTCTCCAGCTCTCACAGCGCCTCAGACTAGATCTACGCTTCCAATCTTGAAAGTGCAGCACCGAAGGTAAGTCTTCGTGGATACGCTACTGTAGTGGCGGTCTGAGGCCTAAAGACGAGTCGGCCGCTACGATTCTAAAAAATTACGCAAAATGTGAGGAACTGAAACCAGAGGATAAAATAAGTAAAGTCATTGTCCTCCACTATCCCTTGCATATGGCCCTTGGCCATCTCGAAAAGCTGAACTATGTGGTGTCAGCAGAGAGATGCCAAGTACGAACCACAAAACAGGAAACTCGACAAGTCCTTCTCACAGTAAGAGGACGGATCCCAGAGAAACTTGACCTTGGAATCTGGGGCGTGTTCCAACACAGGCCTTACACCCCAGAACCCCTAAGATGCTTCAGATGTCAGAGTTTTGGGCATCACAAAGATGGCTGCCAACGCCCAGTGAGGTGCGGAGTCTGCAGCCAGCCCCATGACACAAAAACATGTATGGATAAAATCAAGGCAAACCACCCCGTTTAGGCAAAATGCCCAAATTGCTCCAAGGCACATCATGCCTGGATCTTGATATGCCCTGAAAGGCTCAAAAGGCTTCAAACGAACCCCACCACGCCTACAGCAGAGCCGAAGCCCCCACCAAAACTAATACCAGCTCCCCTGCCCACTAAAACCGCGTGGGGTCTACCCACTCAGGAAGAGGGGGCACACGGCCCTTCACCATCGGCCATGGTGAAGACCTCCCATCGGCAAGGGTGAGAAGACCTCTGTACAGGACAAAAAGAAAGATGGAGGACACAAGAATCATGTTCAAAGCAGTCGGCCTCCCATTTCATCCAGCAAGCACACTGGGGCCAATAGGAGTAGCAATTCCAGTGTCAAAGTTACAACCGAGAAGGGTCTAAAAGCTACTAGGCCCCTAACCTGCACAACATTAAATAGTGCTCCCACTGAACTGGACGCTCTCTGGCCAATGCTCAAAACTTTGGTCACTGAGTTGATTGAAAGTCTGCTGTCATCACATGGAATCAAGCAAACAGAGACTCGGAAGACAATTGAGCACAGGCTCAAGAAATTCGAAGATGTAATATCCTCACCTTCAAGACAGCAGGGCAGGAGACACCCCCATAAAAAACAGAGTTCAGCTCGTCGGAAAGCGACATTGATGAGTCAATTTCAGGTCCACTAAGAGCCTATACCCCAATTGCAACTTCCATGGCGTGTTCATCAGACTCCATGGATACCACGGAATTATCAGCAAATTCCAAGAACCTAGAGGTCTAAAGATCCTGCAATGGAATGCGCAAGGACTGCGCACTAAATTGCAACACTTGCAATGCATAGCAGCAACCAAGGGCATAGACATCCTAATACTACAGGAGAGCTTGCTTCGAGCCGGATTAGAACCTAAAATCTCAGGCTATCGAGGCTTCTTCCTTCCATGGATCAATGGGCAATCCAGGGAATGTGCAATCTATGTAAAATGTGACCTGATCTCCAAGTCCATAACCAGCCCACCCAATTGTGGAGCAGGGACAGAGGTAATGGGAGTCACCATTGAGCTAAGACACGACAAACTTGAAGTGTTCAATGTGTACAGGTCTCCACAAGCCGAAATGGATCTCTCTGTGTTATTTGGACACGCGACAACAACAAACACAATCATTTGTGGAGATTTTAATGCCCATCATCGATTGGCACTGGGCTCGAACAGAACAAATGAAGCCGGCATACACATTACACATCTACTGGACCAGCTTCCAGAAATACAAATCTTAAACAAGAATGAACCTACCCACATCCAAGGAGGCAGATTAGACCTAACCTTCGTTTCAGCCTCCCTAAGAGATGCAGCAACATGGTCAGTTGAGCCCACACTGACAAGCGACCACTATGGGGTCCAAATTGATCTTCAGTTAGACCTACCCACCCCACCTCCGCCTCCATCTGAAGCCTGGAACTTTATTTTAGCAAACTGGGACCGATTTCAAAACCTCATTTCAGAGTGGCAAAGAAACTATGATCTTCCCGAAGACATTAATCAGGGAGAACAAGAATTTGTCAAAGCGATTCAAAGTGCAGCCAACCACTCAATCCCACTGAAAAAACAGTCCACCGGACACCATAAAGATCATTGGTACTATTGCGAACGTGTCAAAGAACTCAACCATAGACTCAACAGAACAAGAAAGCTATACAAAAAGCAGCCAAGTGACCGCAACAGGATCTTACTTTGTGAGGTCAAGGAACATGTGCATCGAGAGACCAGACAAATAAAAGAACAAAAGTGGCTGGAATGGTGTTCACACCTGAATGAACACACCTCTCTCGGAGAGATGTGGCAGCAAATTCACCGGGCCAAAGGGAATAAAACACCTAAAGCTCCACACCCCAAGGATCCTCAACAGGAAGCCGAAGTACTGGCAACCAGGTTTGCAGAGAGAGCAGCCAGCACTCAACTTCCACCAGATGTATTAGCAGTACAGACTGGACTAGAGGAAGAAAGGTGGCACAGAATCCTTACAGCATGTGAAGAAGTCTCTGACACTAATGCCCCCTTCACACTGGATGAGCTCAATCGGGCTAAGAAAAACTCCAAGGATACATCCCCTGGAGCCGACAAAATAACCTATAAAATGATTAGAAGCTTCGGCCCAGAGGGAGACGCTGCATACCTAAGGTTAATTAATTTAGCCTGGACTTCTCAAACTAGACCTTCTGCTTGGAATAGGGCAGACATAGTGCCGAACCCAAAACCCAAAGATCCAGCTAATCCCAGGCCCATCTCTCTCCAAAGCTGTGCAGCCAAGACGGCTGACAGAATGGCACTCAACAGACTGGAGTGGAAAATGCCTAAACTGCACCATGATATGTATGCCTATAGAAGAGAGGTTGGCACAGTGGAGTGTATTACAACTCTGTTAGCCCACTTGAATGACAGACCAGGAATGCTGATATTCCTGGACCTCGAAAAAGCCTTTGAACTGGCTAGCGCCCCAGCTATTCTCTGCTGCCTCATTGACAAAGAGGTCAGAGGCAACCTGCTCTCCTGGACCAAAAACTGTCTCATAAACAGAGAAGCAAGAGTAAAACTTCATGGCACAGTCTCTGAGTACAAAAGACATGAAAATGGTACACCGCAAGGAGGTATTCTCAGCCCTCTTCTCTTCAACTGTTTAATGGAAAGAATAATGAGGTTGAAACTCCCACATCACTGCAGGCTGCTAAACTACGCGGACGACTTTGTCATCATCATAAAAGGAAGGGATGCGGCGCGCCTTGCGCCCAAATGCTTAGACTGCATCAGTAAAGAGGCAAAACAGATTGGGATCAAACTCAACCCCACAAAGTCAAAGGCCATGCCAA